TTCAAGGTTCAGGGTTCCATGATTATCTTCTGTGTCTGTGTTAATTGGTTTCCCTTTTCTTTGTTGAAGAGGGTCTGTGCAATCCTTCTGCCTAGTCCGCCATCTTGCCAGAACTCCTGGAGCATAACTGTTAAGATAAGAGGCTCTGGTACCAGACAGGCTTGTTCTAGTTCTTCTTTGCATACCAGCTAACTGTATGGCCTTTGGAGTCATGTAACCTCACTGGGCCTCAGTTTCCCATTCTACAAAATAAGAATATTAAAAGTGTGAGCCTCACCTCACTGTTATAAAGACTGTATGAAATAATACTTGGAAATTGGCACATAAAGAATACTCAAGAGATGTTGATTGTGATCACGCTGCTGTTGTTACAATACCCTGTCTCCCTCAGCCTGCTTACCAGCACCACAGGAGGGGCCTGGCCTGCTAGATGAAAGACCAGGTCAGAGCTTCCTGACCCACAGGGCTCCCACTCCCACCTCCAAGGCTCTCAAGGCTGTGAGAGCCACCATGGTAGGCAAGCCATTTTGCCTACCGTTGCAGCAGCTATCACAAATTCCTGGCTCCCTGGTTTCCCGGCTCCCTGGCTCCCTGGCTCCCTGGCACTGTTCTAGGATCCCCATCATCCTGCCCATCAGTCCTTGGAAAAGGAAGGGTTTCATTTCTAAAGTGACTGGTGGCAGGAAGAGATGATTATTGGTCTTTGTTTCCAATGTTGGGAGGAAAATTTTAAATGTGCAAATAAGCAAGAAGATAAATTTCCTCCCAAACCTAACATTCAGAGATAATAAAAGTTCGTATGTTGGATGCCATCTTCAGGCAGGGCGAGAGTGACCTCAAAGTAAGCAAGGCCAGAAAGACAAAGAATGGGATCCTGTATCCTTCAGCCCATCTCTTGGCTTCCCCTCTCCAGTCTGGCCTGGCAGTGTCTAGAAGCATCTCAATTAAGCAATTCTGTTGTCATTTCTCCTCTCCTCTTCCCTTATGAGGAACTGGCTCATTCTCTATGTTAGTTTTAATGGGTCATTTTAGTGGCCCATCCCTGGGCCCATAAATAGAAAAAGTACCAAGTATTTCTGCTAAGTATGGTAAATAGAAGGCAGAGTATACCAGAGGCGATGTCTGCTGCCCTAGATATATTCCTAATGCAATAGAAGTCACTGTCCCAGGCAGATGGGGATTCCTCAGTGCTGTTCTCCTTCTGAAGAGCTCCAGTGGTATAGTGGTTAAAACATTCAGTAACTATTCTGTCCTAAAGTGTTACCATGAGTTGGAATCAACTCGACAGCAGTGGGTTTGATTTTTTAGTTTATTCTCCTGTAAGAAGACCTGCCCTCCTAAAGGGAGAGGAGGTAATGAGAGAAAAGAAAGATGGAGAAAATGAGAGGAGGGAGCATTGGAGGAGGCAAGGTTAGCCAGGGTCCATACCACTCCAAAGATGTGTGAGATGTACTGCATGCTGAACTGCTGGCTCTGAGGTGGCCAATAATTCAAGAAAGTGTCCACGTCCATCCGCAGAGCTTTCTGCTCCTCTTCGCCAAAGTGTTCCACGTGGTTCTGCAAGTCATCCACAGAGACGAGGCAGCCCTCCGTGAGCCCAGTGCCCTCTCTCTCCACCCGCCACATGATCCGTGCAGCCAGCCTGTGGAGAGTGGCAGTGTTGGGGAGGTGGCCACATCATCAACTTGTTCAACAAATACTTACTGAGTGCCAAGCGTAGGATGGGACACAAGCTAGTTTTGAACTATACACACAGAACCCCTTCTTTCATGAAGCTTCTGATAGTAGGAGAAACACAAATAAACAAGATAATTTTAACTATTGTTAAGTGCTACACAGAATACAAAGTAGGGTAACATGATATAAAAACGAGTTGCCATTAAGTCAATTCTGACTCATGGCTACCCCATGTGTGTTAGGGTAGAACTGTGCTCTATAAGGTTTTAAATGGCTGATACTTTTTTTTTTTTTTTCCCAGAAATAGATTGCCAGGTCATTCCTCTGAAATGCCTCGAGGTGGACTTAAATCTCTAACCTTTCAATTGGTATCCCAGTGCATTCCCTAGGTGGTACAGATGATTAATGTGCTTGACTATTAGCTTAAAAAAAAAAAGAAAAGAAAGAAAAAACTCACTGCTGTCAAGTCGGATCTAACTCATAGTGACCCCTCCTTGGGTTTCCAAGGTAGTATCTCTATGGAAGTAGATTGCCCAATCTTCCTTCTGAGTAGTGGCTGGTGGGTTTGAACCACCAGCCTTCTGGTTAGCAGTCAAATGACTTGGGCACTATGCCACCAGAGATCCCGACATTTAGCTTAAAGGTTGGATATTTGAACCCACCCATGTGTGCCTCAGAAGAAAGATTTGGTGATCTACCTCCAAAAAATCAGCCCCTGAAAACTCAGTGAAGCATAGTTCTACTCTGACACGCATGCAGTTGCCATGAATTGGAATCAACTCAATACATGATAGAGAATCTTGATAGAGAATGGTTCAAGAAGGGGAAGATAAGGTGATCAGGGAAAGTTTCTTGGGAGAGATACATTTGAGATGACACTGGAATGAACTCAAGGAGCTAGCTCTGTGCAGATGGGAAAGAGCACTTCAGGAGGAGAGAACAGAGAGTACAAAGGGCCAGAACAAGGAATGAACTTGTCATGATGCAGAAACAGCAGTAAGGCCAGGGTGGCTGGAGCACAGGGAGCAAGGAGTGGAGAGTAAATAAAGGTGGAGGGGTGGGCAGGGGCCAGATTACATGGGGTCTTGGAGACCATAGAAGGTGTCTGAAGACACAGTAAGGTGCAGCAGCCTGGATCCTTCCTTCTTGATAGTATGGTTAACTAGGACAATCACTGGATAAAGAGTCCAATGATTTGGGTATAAGTCTGTTTCTACTACATACTGTGTGACTTTGGGCAAGTCACTTGACCTCCTTGAACCCATCTCGAGGCCAGTAAAGTGGAGACAATATTTCCTACCATGTTAACCTCCAAACTCATTTTGATGATAAAGTGAGGTAATGGCTATCCTATTATGTGTGAAATTATTCATACTCCTAATGACTGGGTAGGAGAAAGTGAAAGCAGTCTAGGCAATGAAACAGCATAAGCGAAGGCTGGGAGGCAACCACAGGCATGGCAGGGAGTCACCTGACCTGGCTAGAGTGAAGGAGAGAAAGACAAGGTGGCAGGTAGAGAGCACCAGAAAGCAAAGGGCTTTGAGTGTGAGGCAGAGGGGTGTACCTCACCCTGAGGCAGAAAGGGTGTACTTGCTGTTGTTAACTGTTGGGAAACAATATTCTCACAAGAAGAAACCTGTAATCCAGGGGCACTTTGATTTCTCTCTGCCACCCACTGACTCCAGAGTGGTCAGGTGTATGGGAGTGTCTCGTGGCCCTGGGCAGAACTTGTCCCTGAGGAGAGACCCCCTTGGTAAAGCATAAGTTCCTTTCTTCTCTAGTTTAGGTCACATAGATGCTCTTCTAGGGGCCCTAGGTTCCTGGGAACCAAGGTGCCTCCACATGGAGCCCATTATCAGGGAAGATAAGACCCTGGGTTGGGTATGGGGCAGATCTGCTATCTCCAGATACTTGGGAAATGATTGTGAAGCACAGAGAGTAGAGGCTAATGGATGGAAGATTTCAACTCAGCTTCAGAAGAAACTACCAACTGCAACAGTGAAGAGTGTGCTCCCCATCATAGGAGGAGTCATAAAATTTGAACCTTGAAGAATAAGTAGGATTTCAACAGATTGAACTAAGGAACAGTAGGGGGTATTGATCAGGCCATTTTATCTTATGGTTTCCTAAAAATTACCAGGTTACAATGATTCCTTTCTGCACTTCAACTTCACCCCTACACATGCAGTAAAAATTATCCCAATTTCATCACACTTATTCCTTTGCTCTTCACTGCTGGCCTGGTGCCCTGCCAAGTCCAGCCTCATGCCCTGCCAAGTCCCTATTCCATCAGGGCCCTCAGGTCTTGCAAACTCTTGAAATGAGGCTCCACAGGTACTTGGCCCTGAGATTTCTAGCAATGGCCACCAGGAGAGGACTAGTTGTTAGAAGTTCAGTCCCTTTCTAGTGTAATGAGTGTTGAGGGCTGCATTTAAAACCAAAAGGAATAGTGGGTTTGTTCTGCATGTTTAAAGCGGGGGAAGAGATGCTATTGAGCACCAGCTCATTTTGCCAAATCTTCTTATTTTTTTCTGAGAAAAGCCAGAAACTCTGATTTTTTTAGTTGTAGAATTTCCAAATTTTTAACATTAGGAGGTAAATTAATAAGCAAAATCAAACATTTGGATGCTATACAAAATGAGTCTGTAGGCAGCTCCAGCTCTAGCCAGGGGCTATTCTAAAGCTTGGCTCTCTCGCTTAGATAGGTTCCCCAATCTGTGGGAATAAGTGGAAGAAGTGATCATGTCCAGTACTTTGAGGTTCTTTCTTGACTTGTACTCAGCCCACCACCTGTCTTCCTTGGGCCTGCAGATATTTTCACTGCCACCATCCCAACCTAACATCTGGGAATCCAAAGCACCACCCCGGGCCCACCACTGACCTGATGTTCTCATTGGGCACCTTCCCATATCTCTTGATTGCTGAGCACTCGTTCTTGTGGTTCAGCCAGGCATCCTTCTGGCAGGTGCGGTCACAGTAGTAGGCAAACTTGCACTGCCCACAACGATGGAGCTTCTCCTGCCTCTTGAAGCAGGTGTGGCACACAAAGTCAACAAGACTGGAAATGGAGGGAGAAAACACAAGTTTGGGAATAGGGCACAGTGGAAAGGGCCCTGCCCTGGCCATTGGAAGAACTGAGTTTGAGGACTGGCTCAGTGAACTAATGTGAGTCTTTCTAAGCTTCAAACCCCTCCTGTTCAAAATTAGTGTCGTGGGCTTCCAAAATTCCCTTCCAGCTGCAACAATTCTTTTAGCAGATTATGATGATTATTATTATTTTTAGATTTATTCTGTAGACTATGTAGAGTTCTTTTTTTCTTCTTCTTCTTTTTTTTTTTTTTTTTTTTTAATTGTGATTTGGGTGAAAATTTACAGAGCAAATACACTTTCCATACAGCAGTTCACTTACACTTTGTCTCATGACATTGACCACAATTCCCCACAATGCAACATCTCCCCTCCCACTTCCTCCCAATAGCTACCTGTTCCCTGTGTCCATCCCTCCATGCATTCCTACCCCCTGAGCCACCTCCCTGTGCTTGAGCAGCCCTTCTTTCTCTCATGCTTGTTCTCTCCAAGGAGTGTATCTACCTCAGGTAAATGCTCAACTGATATGCCTGTCTATTGTTTGGCTGGAAGCCACAGGTGTGTGTTCAATTCCAGACCTGAAGGGCAGCTGGGGGCCATGGTCTTGGTGGTTCCACCAGGCTCCATCAGGCCAGCAAAACCTGTTCCCTGCTTTTTTTTTTTTTTTTTACCAAATGCTTTTGAGTTTTGTTCCACATTGTTCTTTCTCTCTATCCAGGATCTCCTACAAAGAGGTTAACAGTAGTAGTCAAGCACCATCTATTTCTTCTGGTCTCATAGTCATAGAGGCTGCAATCCGATGGTGTACCAGTCGCTGGGACTAATTGTTTCCATGAATTTTTGGTTTTCTTCATCCTTCTTGGCTCCGGACGAGGAGAGACCCATCGTTGCATCTAGATGGCAGCTTGCAAGCTTTTAAGATCTCAGTCGCTACTCGCCACAGTAGGAGGTGGAACAATGTTTTGTGTAGTATGTTATGCCAATTGAGCTTGATGTCCTCTAGCAGATTATTTTTAAGTGACCTTCATGTGCAAGACACTATTGCCTTCTGCATTCATGCCCTTCAATTCAATTCAACAATGAATTAATAACCTACTGCCTATAAGGCACTGGGTATACTATCATGTATTGGGCACAAATTACCGGAGAAACAAACTTGCAATACAATACAATCTGTTGAGCACTGTGATAGGGGAAGTGTAAGTATTCTTGGAACACATCAGAGAAGACTTAAAGAATCTAGGAATTCCTCTAGGGCAATAGAATGGATCTAAATTCCTCATGACCCTCTTGTCAAAGTCACAGATCATTGGCACTATTTTGTGGATTGTTGTTGGCTGCGATTCAGTTGGTCTCTGATTCATTGTGACCCCATGTACAATGGAACAAAGCATTGCCAGATCCTGGCATCCCCACAATCAATTGCAGATCAGATTCTGTGATCCACAGGGTTTTTGTTGATAGAGAATGTTTCTTCTGATGTTCAGAAGGAGGCAGACCTTTCTTCCTAGTCCATCTTATTCTGGAAGCTCCACTGAAGCCTGTTCAGCGTTATAGCAACGTACTAGTCTCCACTGACAGATGGGTGCTGGCTGTGCGTGAGGTGCACTGACTGGGAATTAAACCCAGGTCTCCCACAAGGAAGGCAAAAATTCTCTCTCTGAACCAAACGGAGGGGTCTTTTTATGTAACATGTCTTTCTCATTGTTGAAATATGATATACCCTTACCAAAAAATAAAAAATAACACCTATCCAAAATAAGGAGTTCTGGTGATGCAGTGCCTAAGGCATTTGATTGCTAACCAGAAGGCTAGCAGTGCAAACCTACCAATTCAAATGGTGGAAAGAAGATGGGGCAATCTACTTCTGTAAAGATTTACCACCTTGGAAACCCAGTGGGGGTCACTATGAGTCAGAATCAGCAGTGGGTTTGGTTTTTTGGTTTTGAATGTGATGAGACATGAAAGATGATAGTATTATCCACAAAATGAGGGTTACACAGCATGACATATGTGTTCTGTGTTTTGCAACTGCAAGAATCACAAAGTTACTGATGTCACTGACACTGATGTATTTTCTCAGCTCAGCAATGCATTTCCGTTATATGGATGAGAAAGAGATGTAGAATATGAGGTCCCTTATCCTGGCAGACAAAGCCATGCTTCTGGCCTCCCAGTGTTCCCATTAGAAAGCCGCATGTTTCTCCATGCCAAACCCATAATTCAAACACAAAAGGGCATATGCTAGAATGAAAAAAGCTTATTTCAAAACATAACTTGATACCCAGAGTATGTCAAATCTGACGTGATGCACAATATTTCTAGGCTCCAACTGCATGCCCCCGTAACATGGAGAATAGAAGTCTAGGCCAATGAGGCAAAGAAATGGTGAAAACAAGTTCAGTGATGTACCAGGGAAATGCCAAGCTCCCAGGAGGAAAGTAGGTACATAAACTTAGGATGGAGTTGACAGTCTAAACAGGAATATCAAAACTATAAGAAAACAAGATTTTAGAACAACAGATTTCTATAGCCTTCTTTCTTCAGGAAGGATCTTCAACAGGACATCCAAGAACAGAAATCTCTTGTGCCTTTCATTTTAATCCTGATCCCTCCAGTGAAAAAGAATTCATTGCTTCTATAAACAGCTGTTCTACTCTTGCCCAGCCCTGATTATTGCAAAGTTCTTCCTTGTATTAAGCTTGAATTTACCTCCCCATGAAATATAGTCCTATACTCTAATATGAGGAGCCTTGGTGGTACCGTGGTTAAAGCACTCGGATGCTAACGGAAAGGTCATCAGTTGAACCACTAGCTGCTCCATGGGAGAAAAATGAGGCAGTCTGCATCTATAAAAATGTACAGCCTTAGAGATCCTATGGGGCAGTTCTACTCTGTCCTGTAGGGTCACGATGAGTCAGAATCGAGTCTATGACAATGGGGTTGATATTCTAATCTGACCCTGTGGATCTTGGCCCAATGGAACAAGTCTTGTCACATCAACTGTTCAAGAATGTGAAGGGCCCTGCCATGCTTCCCCTTCACTTCCCTTTTCCAAGCTAAACACTTCCCATTCCTTCCGCAGTTCTTTGTGATATTGCACAAAGAACCATGTTGGGTTTCAGTAATGCTCACACCATTCTGGTGGCCCCCTGATGTATCTACAGCAGGTCTGCAGTCACAGAAGATAGATGTAAGTATTAGTTTCCTGCTGCTGCTATAACAAAATACCACAAAGTGGTAGCTTGTAATGACAGAAATTTATTGTTTCAAGTTCTGGAGGCTGGAAGTCCAAACTCATGGTGTCAGCAGAGCCATGCTCTCTCTGCAGGCTCTAGGCAAATGTCATTTCTAGTCATTCCTAGTTTCAGGTAGCCCCAGCATGCCTTGGCTTGCAGCTGCAGGATAACTCCATCTCTTCCTCTCTCTTCACATGGCCATCTTCCTTCTGCGTCTCTTCTCCTCTTTTATAAAGACATCAGTCATATTGGATTAGGACACCCACCCTACTTCAATATGACCTCACGTTAACTAATAACATCTTCAAAGACCCAGTGTGACAAGGTCACATTCATAGGTATTACAGGTTAGGACTTTAACACATCTTTTTGTGGGACACAATTCAGTCCATAGCAGGGTAGCAGGGCAAATAAGCAAGATCTGGCAGCCAGAGCAAGGGCACCATTCTCAAGGATCAGCTGAAAGACTGGGCCCAGTGGTCCAGGATGTCATCAAGCAAAGAAGAGAGACAGGTGCATAGCCAAGCTGAGGGCACAGCATGGGCTGCTGCTCTAAGCTCGTTCTTGGCTTTCCCTGGGCCCAGACAGGTTTCAGCCCCCCACCCAGCATACTACTCTGCTATGAGATGTGTGGCTAGTCATTTGTTAATAAAGCATTCTAAGACATGAAAGGTTGGTATTTATTTATAAATAGGAGCAGCTTCAAGGTTATCCCAATAATAATGTTTTTTCTTCCTCACTTACGTTCCCTTAGGCTTTCTTAGTGAGAAAGGAAGAATAGAGTTACAGCTAGCATATTTAGGATTGCAACAGAACTCACAGCCCATCTTAACTATGACACAGAGAGTGTTTAGTGCTTGAGAAGGTCATTCGTCAAGAACATCTCAGCAGGATAAAACACACGGGGCTTACATGACACCCTGATCATTTAATGGAATCTCCAAACCCCTGAAGATCGGGAGCTATGAATTCCTCACATCTGTCTCAAGGCTGGATCATATTCTCTGGCAAAAATTTGAAATTTGTTAGCAGGGACGGGGTATTTTTAGTGATTCAGTGATAGAATTCTCACCTTCTATGCAAAAGACCTAGAGAGCTCTGGTAGCATAGTGGCTAAGGCACTTGACTGCTAACCAGAAGGCTGGCGGTTCAAACCCACCAGCCACTCCCCGGAAGGAAGATGGGGCAATCTACTTCCGTAGTGATACTGCCTTGGAAACCCAAGGAGGGGTCGCTATGGGTCGGGTCTGACTCAATGGCACATAACAACAACAACAACAACATGCAAAAGACCTGGGTTCAATTCCTGCCTAATGAACTTCATGCACAGCCACTATCTATCCGGAGGTTTGTGTGTTGCTATATGCTGAACAGGTTTCCATGGAGCTTCCATATTAAAATGGACTAGGAAGAGAGGCCTGGAAATACACTTCTGAAACTCTGCCAATGAAAACGCTATGGACTCCCCAAGACTAGGCCCTTAGTCACCCATTAAGCCTAGAACTGAACTCACTCCCCTCACTCAACTTCAAGCCAAACAATAGACAAGTCTATAAAGTGAACAATAACACCAGGGAAGTATGCACTCTTTAGAGCAATCAACCATTTGCAATCAAAAAGCCAGCATTTGCCCAAGGAAAAGTTCAGAAGGCTAGAAGGGATAGGAAAGAAAGAAGAATGGAAATGGGCAACACAGGGATCATCAAGAATAACAGAAATTCTGCTTCTTCAT